TTGTTTCTTCTGTCTTCCCACTTCCCCGCTCCTTCCTTCCATCTAACGTTACTCTCTGACCTCAGCAGCAGTGATGGTCACACGGACTCAGCTTTTGGCGAATCAATCGTCAGTACCTCGTCAGTCTCCACGCCCGTTGCTGGTCGTTCGTCAAACCGGTTTAATCCGGTAGCAATCACGACAATGAACCAAGAGGGAGAGGCTGTAACTGATCTGGTCAGTCAACAATCGAGTTCCAGTAATCTCCTGGAAAGTGCTGCAGTCCATTTGCAAGAAGCACGGGAAGACGAAGAAGCTGGATACGCGAGACTGGAGGATATACGGTCCGCTAAGAAGACACAGAAGAGGTATAGCCACTCTATCTAACATTTCTATAACTGCAATGCTTCCAAGAGTAGAAGGCAAAAATGAATTATTTGGTGTTGAGGTTATCGTGGACGCCTTGATTCCTCGTCAGATTAAACGCGAGACTGAACTATTCTGTCAAGGTGCTCAGCTGGCGCTCCACGAAATAAGCACGAATCTTTGAGCAAACTGATTCTGAACGTGGAATCGATTCACACTTCTAAACTTGTTTCTAGAAAACTAACCTTTATTTCCACTCAATCTGGGAAATGGCGGCTGCACATGTGTCTTCAAAGATATTTTTTAATTTTTTATCAGCAACTATGATCAAGTGAGATTAAATAAGCCGGCCAAAGATGGCAGACTAGCCGATAGTTTTGGCCGGTTATCGGCTCCGATTGATAATATTCTTGTTTTTCAGTCCTAGAGATGGTGTTACCACGGAGACTCAGACCACCCTAGAGGAGACAAGCACATCGGCCACTCCTGTAGTTGAACCAATTGTGGAACAGATACAAATCACCAAAACAGCTAGTGACGTTGAAGCCATTAAAGACATTTTATCAGAGATGGCAGACTTGGGGTAAGGCATTTGTTGATGGCATTGAACCGATAGAAAGCGACAACGTTTTTAAGCTATATGGTGATCAATGAAATCTGTTTCAAGTAGTCTACACTACTGGAACACACAAACCTAAAGAACGTTGGTATGTCGGTTGTCATCATAATCGGAAATATGTTTCCTGCTAACTTATTAACTCGTCTGGTATGGTTTTTCTTTCCATATGGTTTTCCTCTCCAGTAGCATCAACGAGCCACAGCTTCCCCAACTTAGTCACCCTAGTACACCACAGAGCGTCAGGAGTGAAGGTCCAAACGGAAAGGGTAGGAGTCCTTTGCTGTCTGATGGATCTGGGTCCTTTGAAAATGCTGTACAGCGAAAGAAATCTCATCCTGTCTCAGATAAAGGCTACGGGTCTACCAACAGTGTATCGTCTGGTTCATCGAATGACAGTGAGTATCGTCCACCACCTTCATTACAACCATATTCAGTCCATGAGTTGCACAATTGTATGCGCAGAGTGCAGTGCGTGTGGCACGCTTTGTAACTCATGCAAGATTGAGTTTAAAGACACGCTAGCTGTACTGACAGCTACACGATTATAGAGAAGCCGATGTGCTTGCGACAAAATAAAAATCGTGAAGAGTTACAGTGAAATCCCCTTTTTGCTCCCGCTTAAAACTATTGTGCGTCCTATTTTTCAGATGTGTTCCTTCCGGAAAGCCCGAAAATTCCAGGATTAAAATTTGACAGAGACACTTCAGTGTTTTGGTATAAACCAACCATTTCAAGGACTGATGGTATGAAATCACTTCCTTTCTTTGATATATGAATGCCTCGTACTGTACGGGAGACGCTGTTACTTGCATTAGTTGTTAGCGCGCAGGTTTCCGAGCGGAAATAACGTGGCCGCGTCACTTTGTTAAGTGTTATGTATTTCGGACTCTTACAGTAATACTCTCCTCTCAGGAGTATAAACAGGAACTAATAGGCTGCCAAGAAACTTGTCAAAGTCTATTCCTTGGAGTTTTCCTACGAGAGACTACCTTCTTATACCCCGAGAATTAGCAATACTTCTGGTACACCCTAGCATCAGTGTGCATATTCCCCATACTGTTTTCTATACATTTCCTTTAGTACTGACCAGAGCTTCACTATCATTTCTTATATTCTCAAGACCAAACTTTTTGAGGCAGCAGTGAGACTGTAAGGAGAAATGAGATGCTGGTCACTCTGATATGAGCCCACTCTGACGAGTTTATTACAGTTTGTCTTGTTTTCTTTTTCTTCAGCAAACGATATCCTAAAAGACTCAGAACCGGGCTCTTTTATCATCCGGGATAGTCAGTCCTTCCCAGGAGCCTTTGGTTTAGCTGTGAAGGTCGCCGTGCCTCCTGCGCATGTCCTTCAGGGACTTCAAGGAGACCTTAGTAAGTTGAAACACCCCTCCCCTTCTAAAGTAGTTAAGGAAAGATTTAATTAATATTTTGCAAAGTACTTGCCTCAGTTCCCGTACGATTTGTTTGAGAATTTCACAAAAAGTTTACCTTTTTTCCCTTTCTGACACGATTCATTGAACGATTTACTGCAGTTGGTCCTTTTCCTTATTCTCAGAGTCCTTAATCATGCGCCTGTTTGCACTTTCATTGTTTACCCTCAGGTGGCTCCTAAAAAAGTACCGATGTTAGGCCCCTTTATTGCGCTTATCTATGAGACCCTTAATTGTCTGTTTCTTAAGTTCCGTTTTGTTTCAATACAACTGAAAAAACGAAAGTTCTTCGTCGCGATTTCGAAAGATTACCAAACGTTTTTCTTCTTTCAGCAAAAGTTGATCTCGACAATGAACTTGTTCGGCACTTTCTCATTGAAACAACCAAGAAGGGCGTTAGGTTGAAAGGCTACAACGATGAACCCATTTTTGGTAAGTACTTGAACAATAACTTGTGTTTCACCGGCCCAAGTTAGTGTGCAGTAATAAACTTCTCCCTTATCACTGGAAGTCTTTTTTATAAAGCCAGCTTTAGCAGAAACCACACAGCACTTTGCCAGATGGCAAATTTGTTAGTTTGTTTGTTTCTACATTAAAAATTTAACCTAGATCCCCCATTCGCTTGGTCAGCCGCGCAGATAATAAGTTAAAGAGTTAATACCGTGCTATGTTTTTATCTTTGTAGGCAGTTTGGCTGCTTTTGTGTATCAACATTCCATCACTCCCTTGGCTCTACCAATCAGACTTAAAATGCCCGCTCATGGTAAGGTGTCTGTTGTTGACCAGTTGTCGCATTCTCGGCAAAAGCCACGCGCTTATATAGTTATTTTATCTATTTTAAGTACTTTTCATTTAATTTTTAGTGTTTCGTGTTGATAAAAAATAAACCCAGGCTTGCTGACTTGTTTAATCTCGGTTTTCATGTAACAAAATCTTTTATCTTCCCCGACAACGATCGATGTCTACATCGATGTGCCATGTATGCAAGTGTGCATGTTTTCGAATACTATAATATTTGCAATCCAGTATCCACCATTTTGCTTCTTATTTCGAATTTCGGAATATCGGAACCATTAATAAATGTTCGCTATGTTGACAGTCATCATATCTCTTTTTTCAGACCTCCTAGCTGGAGATAAGGACCAGTCTCTTGACAAGGAGGACGGTCAAAACTGGCCCAAAGGCGCTGGTAAGATACTAGAATTATAACTGATCTGTCTGGCTTGATTTACGAGACGTTAGTTATGGATTTGATCGTTCTCCGAATGTTTTGCCTTCTTATAGATAATTCTTTTATATTCTAGTTTCACGGCAGGGTGGTTCTATAACCTGAAACTTCCAAAGAAGAGCATTCTTCCTCCTATTTAGTGAGAGTTACTTGGAACGTTTAGTCCAACAAGAACACAAGAATAAATGATCCGACCAGGCCTCGAACCCAGGCCGCCCCATACGTTGTCTAGATGGCGTATCGCTTGCGCTAGTCTGGAGACCACTGTGTCAGGTGGTTACATTATCGGATGTAGAGTAATTTTCGTTTTGTTTTTCAGTTGGTTCCCTAATGTATCTCGGAAAGTGCGAGGTGGAAATGTTAACTGGTGCCAGCGCTATACAGCGAACTGTGGAATTTCTGTCAACAGAAGAGGCTGCCAAGAAATTCACGACAGTTAGCTTTAAGGTCACACCAGACGGAATGACTGTTACAGATACTGAACGAAAGTAAGAAACGTTTGCAATTATAGAAATAAGAACCACGTTACAAGGCAGTACCACGTGATAGTACCAGTACCACGTGATAGTATTGCTCATTAGCTTTTATCAAAACCCTTTAACTCCCATAAGTGATCAAGACAGAATTTCTCCTTACAATATCAAAACAAAAACAAGCAGACAAATGACGAGAGCAAAGAAAGAATTGTATGACAGGCAGTAAGGAGAATTGCTAGTAAGATCTTGGGAGTGAAAGGGTAAATGATCACACTGGGGTTTTATCCTCCGACCCAAAAGTTAAAACCTTCTTGTTCAGCATGGTAAACAGCGCCATGAAAATACAGCCCTGTAGCTTCCATTGGAATGGTCACACGATGGACAAGTTTTTTACAGAACTTTTATTTTTTCTTTTCTTCAGAGTTTTCTTCAGGCAGCATTTCCACATGAAGTCAATTCTCTATTGCGGTATAGATCCCAGCGATAAAAGGTGAGAGGC